TCTCATCGCATAAATATGACTTACAAAACCAACATCAATTTCCTTTAAAATAAATAAATTTGGATAATTTGCTTTCTTTTTTTACTAGGTTACGAAAACGTTTCTCATCAACTTTTTCTCAAAAACTCACAGTTCTATAATAAAGTTGGTACACTCCGTAGTGTTTAGCAATGTGTATTTGCAATAGAATTTAGTGTTCAATAGTCTACTTTGATCCAAATTAGATCCTAGAACTGTATTTTGATCAATATGCGTGCTAGAGTTCAGTATTTTTTAATGAAAATGAATACTGCTATGCGATATAAACTATCAATAATTCATTGAAATATAACTTTCTATGAGGAAAACCAGGTGCGGTCTAAAATTTTGAACTTTATTTTTACTTACTCGACAAGTCATCCTAGCAAAATCATTAAAATTTTCATCACTTAATTCTGCTAATAAATATTTAGCTTTTGGTCCAATAACATTCAATGCTGTATAAAGTGATGTTACATCCGAAAGAAAAATTGATCCGTCTTCTGGTACATGAGATTTTAACCATTTCATACTTCTTGTTGATTGTGACGTTGGACTTATAAGAAGAAAACTAATATTAACAAAAACAAAAAAAAAGAAAGAAGAAAACAACATTTTCGAAAAAAAGAAAATATTTTGATTTTATCTTACTTATAATCATCAAGACGTATAACAGAACAATCATTTTCATAACCACCTTGTTCATTTAACATACCAGTATGAATAACAGTACCAATTGGTTTATCAATATTATTAGCACAAAGCATTTGAAGAAAATCAACAACACTTCGATTAGCTGATTTAAGTTCATATTTTGTAAATGATGTCATATCAATAATAGCAACACCTTTTCGACATGCATTATATTCACGTTTAACAATATTAAACCAACGTGCTTTACCAAATGTACCTTGTTTACTAAGATCATCAATATTTTCACCTAAAAATAAAAACCTTAACAATGAAAAAAAAAATCAAAAAAAAAGAAAAACTTTTTTTTTTCTTCTGTGAAATACTTTTCTCAGATTCATCTAAATTAAAAAATAATGGTCGTTCATATCCAAGTACTTCACCAAAAACAGCACCAGCTGCTTGTAATTTTGGATGTAATGCTGAAACACGTAATTTTCGTCCTGTACGATATAATGACATGCCATAAGTTGGATATTTTAAAGAATATTGTTGTCCTAGAGCAATAATTCTATTATGAAAGCAAAATTTTTTTTTTTTTTTGTTAATTTTTACCAGGAATTTCACGAAGACGATCTTTTAAAAATCTTTTATTTGTATGTAAACGCATAAAACGACGTATATCAATAGGCCATGTACTTAACTCTGTATTTCCTATATGAATTAATTCTGCAATATATTTTCCTACACCACCGGCAACTGCTACACCATTTCCATTAGTACCAGATGCAACAAAATAATTATCGATCTAAAAAAAAACAGCTTTATTATCAATCGACATATATCAAAAAGATAATCAATGACTAACTTCAGCAGATTCGTTCATAATTAACCGACCATCAGGTGTATAACTATCAGCACCTGTTATTATTGTGTCATATTCACTTTCACCAAGAATAGGAAATCGATTGATACTATTGTTCAATATCCAATCTATGAAAGATTTTATAATTAAAGATTTATTTTAGAAAAAATAAAATAAAATAAAATAAAATAACTTACGAAAATCATCCCAATTATCAGGTAAAAGTGAATAATTAAATGTATCTGGTACACCATTTAAAAAAATAGGCTTTGATTCACGAAGAAAACCACCAATTAAAACACTATCATTAGCTAATGGTAGAATATAAAAACGTTCATCTGGATTGTGAACAATAGGAATATCTTTTGGAAAATTTGTTATTGGCTTCGTTTTTAAACATATGTATTCTAAATATACAATACAATATTTAAACAACAAATATTGTTCGTAATATTTGTGCGACATCGAATTGTAAAACACATTGTAACTGTTGTGATAAGGACAAAATGATTAGTTTATTCTATCCGTTTTACGACCCTTTTCTTCATCATTCTTTCCAGAAATGCAATAGGAAAGTAGTTTATATATTATATCGAGACGTTATTGACATAAAGCTGGTAATCGTTTTGATTCTAGGATAGACTCGAAATTTTTGCTAAGAATCACATCTAGAATTTGACAATGTAAATAAAAAAAAAGGATTCCTAATTGAATGCTATTGAGATGAAATACAGTTCATACTTCATTTCTCAAAATCACACTTTGAAATATATGATAGTGGTGCTGATCAGACAAAAAATTCGTAAATTTTGTAAAAAAAGCGTGTAGTTGAAGAACATGTGAATGTTTATATTCATTGAAATACGACCTTCGAAAGAAGAACATTTGACCTTTTGTGCTGGAGAAAAGAAAGTTAATAATGAAGTAGAAACGCTTCGCACAAAAAATAAATTCAAGATGTTGCACTGTGAAGTGCTCGTTCTTGAAAATGTTTGATAGTCATAGTGTCTTAGTTACTGAAGACAAAAAAAAAAACATTTTCACAGATTTCAGTTAGTCTAACTTAGATTTGTCGTATGATTCTTCTTCATTTGTAACCAAGAATTCTCATTTAAAATCGTTGACAGTATATGATCGAATATTTACTTATTGATAACACGATCTCTCTAGAAAAACTTTGTTTAATGTAGAAAGTTCTCCAATTGGTTGATTGCTTTTGAGTCGAGACTATGTGTTTCATGTAAATCGTATTGAGCTATGAATAATCTAACAAGAGTTCAGATCCTTAACGTCTTTCTGCTGAGATACTCCATTTCCATATTATTCTTCACTGAATACTGTGGCCTCCCTCAGGAAAATTCATTTTTCAATTTCGATCTGAAAATTTCCATAGAGACTGAATTTATTGGGAATAGTATATTGTGAAAGTTTCAGATATTTTCATTGTTTTTATTTTAAGATACAGTAATTATAAAAACTATATATATACCGGTAGATTTCATATTCTTATTTCAGAAAAGAAACATATTAAAAAACCGAAAATTTTCATAATTAATTTTTCTAGTTAAGATTTGTCTCTTTGCAAATTTTCTAATGTATAACTTAGGGGCACCATGATATTGACTTTAACAAAAAAATGTAAAAATGCGCTATCTCAGCAGCAACAAGCTTCGAGTCTGAATTCTTTTCAGTGTATTGATAACTTATTAAAGTCTACATCATGCACATAATTCAAACTTTAAAGCAATTAACCAATTGAGACACTATCTCGAAAGTCTATTTGACTGAAAAAATTTTATTATGAGTGGTCCGAAAATATTGACGTTTCTACAAAAAATGCGATGCACCACTCAAATCTGTCAACGCAATGGAAGAAAAAAACCGCTAATTGAGTCTACCTAAGCCTTATGGTTTCGTCGCCTATGGTGATTGTATATCAATAATTTGTACCACAGTCCGTCATTCGTTGCTAAGATGTCTGCCATGATCTATGATGTTTTCATGGTAATGTTGATGGGGACTTCCTGGTCAACATATCCCCAGCTTTTCATTATAATATGTGTTTTTTCTATTTTGAGTCTGTCAACCTGAAGCTTACCGCATGCTTGTGTAGGTATGCGTACACCTGGTGAAGATCGATATCCGAGTTCACGAGCCCACTAGAAAAACGATTGAATTTTTATTTAATTTCTTTTTTAAGCTAAAAAGAAAATTTCTACCAGTCCTGTGCAATTAATAAATATATCACATTTGATATTTCCTTGTGACGTATCAACACTTGTTACTCGATCATATTGTCCAGCATGTTGTTTTTCAGTTAAAATTTCTTTAGCATGACAATCTTCAACGATTTTAACACCTTTAAATAATCAAAAATTCATAATTAATTATAAATAAAGAAAAATTTTTTTTTTCTTGTTTGTATACCATTATCTATTGCTAATTTAGCAAATGTTAAAGCAAGTGGTACAGGATCTACCATAAAATCATTTTTAACTAAAAGACCACCCTACAAAAAAACAAAAGACTAAAATACTTCTTTTTTGTCACAAAACCAATGTTTTCTAATTTACCCAAACTTCATGCGGATAGATAATAGGAAGTTTCTCTTTTATTTTTTCGACATTTAATATTTCACAATCAATTCCTAAAGCTTTTATTATTGCGTATTGTCGTTTTAATGTATGTAACCGATCTGCTGTTTGTGCTATCCATAGACTACCTTTTTCAATAAAACCTAATCAGAGAAAAAAAGCAAAAGCAATGAAAAACAAAAACAGAAGACATTTTTCTAGTAAAAAAAATTTACCAATATCATGTCCTTGATTATGTAATTTTTCATACAATTCTCTTGAATAGCTCGTAAAATGTGTTTGAATTAATGTATTTTGTAAATGCATTCCTTGACCTGCACTTTGCCATGTTGCCCCCGAAGCTAATCTATTGATGTAAATATATATATGTATACAGTTTTTGTTTTTTTCTAAATCAAATATTACTTTGATTTTTCGATTAATACAATATCTTTAATACCACATTCGCTCAAATGATAAGCAACTGATTGTCCAATAATACCTCCACCAGCAATAAGAATATAACATGATGATGGAATTTTATCAGTTAATTGTAATACTGGATTTGGATAAATATGATGCGGTATTGTAGGTGATTCATGTTGATCATATGAAACTAAACGACGAAGAATGTATGATATTTGATAATGTGATTTGTTCTTTAATAGATGATGTCCATTGAAAAATATTCTATGCTGCAGCATGTAAGCTTGCAAGCATTTAAAAAAAAAACAAATCTAAATCATCTCATCAAAAGAAAATTTTCAATTTTGGAATCAAACAGGGAACTATGCTGTATTTTTTATTTATGATGACAAGAAAAAAAAACCAAACAGGAATATGAAAGAAAAAAAAAGGAATAATCTATGAGGTTCAATGTCTTGTGGGACGGATAAACATGATGATTTATTGACTTATTTGCCAGTTTGTTTCTTATCAGTTTTTGGTTTCTTCTTCTTTCCTAATGTACGATTTGAACCATTATATTTTTGTAAATTTGCCATAATATAAATTGGATAGAGCATTGGTACAATAAAGAACATACCTAATGCAACTATTTTTTCCTAAAAATGATGTAAAAATAATAAGAAAAATATAAAGAAAGATTAAGTTTTTCATACTGTGTTCGTCACTTTAGTTATTGGTGGACCAGCTTGTAAAAGTGTACCTTCACAACGACGAGGCACTATCATCAATGCCTGTCGACGAACGATTTGTGTCAAAAGACTTGACATGTTTTTTCAAATACCGTTGTTTTCAAAATCTAAAATCATTATAGTTTTTATTATAATTTTGCTTTATAAAAATCAATAATTAATGTTTCTTTTTCTTTTGTGCATTCTCTGTGACTCTTTAAATGAGTTCAATCTATATAGAATTCTCTTTGATTTCTATAATGACATCGTTTCTTAGTTAAAACTACGAATATGATGTTTACGATGTGGATGGATAATAAACATAATGTCTATATGGTAATCGATGGATTGTGAAAATTTTGATTTGTTTGTCTTTAAATAAAAGTTTCTAATAGAAACTTCTGAGAAAAAAAACAATGTTTAAGTTTGTTTATTAATTTTTATTTTATTAATGGTCAACAGCGCTTTATTGTTATTGGTTGATTTTCTTCGAAGATCAACAATAATGAATGAGAAGACTTTCTTTTGAAATATTTCATTCGTGATTATATTGAAATATTTAGATTTAAGAAAAAGTGAAAAAAAAATCATGTCAAGAGATTCAAATGTTCTTTCTGTTTGGGGAAATAAAGATTCAATGAATTTAAATTCACTTTTACTTAATAATATTATGTCATCACAATATTTTAAAAGTGCTTTATATGAAAAAAAAACTTATCATGAAGTTGTTGACGAAATTTATTATCAAGTATATATTTAGGTTTTTTTTTTGTTGTTTTACTTTTTATATTATAATGTTTTTTTTTTTTTTTAATAGGTAAAACATTTAGAACCATGGGAAAAAGGTAGTCGAAAAACATCCGGTTTAACAGGCATGTGTGGTGGGGTAAGTGAAGAAATTAATATACGCATAGAAATATTTCTTTTAGATGAAAATTCTATAAATTTCTCATTAATTAGCAAGAATATATTTGGATTTGGGTTAATGAAAGAAAACAGAATCACTATTTTTATTATACATCAAAAATTCGAACATTTTCTAGTTTAAGAAATAATCAATCGAATTAACCAAAATTTATTATTCATTAATACTATTTTTATTGTCGTAAGTCTATATATAAATGAGAGAGAAATATATTTATGAATATACTAAAAATTAACTCTCTAGAATACAGCTGTAAAGGAATAAATTATGAAGAGTAATTTATTTTTAATATTAGTCTACAAATATTTGTAATATATATCTGATAGCATTCGAATATTTACAAGATTTTATCATATTCGAATCGACTTAATTAAAAGAATATATTTCTTATTATTCAGGTTCGTGGTGTAGGTGGTGGTGGCATTGTATCAACAGCATATTGTTTATTATATAAATTATATACATTAAAATTAACACGAAAACAAGTTATTAGTTTAACTACTCATACTGATTCACCATATATACGTGCACTTGGTTTTATGTATATTCGGTAAGTTAAAAAGAAATAAAATATATTTGTTTTATTTTATTATTATTAGATACACTCAACCACCAAATGAATTATTTGAATGGTTTGAAGAATATCTTGATGATACAGAAGTAAATTAAAAATAGAATTTCAAATCTATTATTTTTATTATTATTATATATATTTTTTTTAAATAGACTTTAGATGTAAAAGCTGGTGGTGGTTGTATTATGTCAATAGGTCAAATGCTTCGTCAATGGTTGACACGTATTGAGTATGTACAAAATGAAATAATATTCTCATTTATGAAAATGTTCTTTTTTTTTGTTTCTTTTAAGATGGTATGATACATTATTTCCTCGAATACCGGTTCCAACACAAAAAGAAATCATGGAAAAATTACATGCTCATGGTCCATATAAGGGCGATAATTATGGTGCACATTCAAGGTATGTGAGGTGGAAAGTAAGCAAGAATGATAGATTATAATGATATATTATTGATTGGTTATATTTTTGTTTTTGTTTTTTCTCTTTTTATTTAATTTCTTATAGATATGATTATGATGAAGAACAATATGAAACAAAATCATCAAATGCAATTGATATGCCTGAAACATTTGGTAATGCTGCATCATCATCATCAAAAGATCGTAATGGATCTTATAATCATCATTATTCATCATCAACAGATTCTTATCGAGATAAAAAATATAGGTAAAATTCAATATTGTTTTTTTTTTTAAATGAATCAACTGAATGTTTTAATTTGAAATAGATCATCTCGTGATGAACGTTCACCTGATCGTCGACGACATCATCATCATCACCGGGATAATAGTCCTGATCGTAATAGATCTCAAAAACATCATCATCATCATCATCGACGTAGTCCATCACGTGAAGATCGACGACGACATTCTCATAGATCCAGATCACCTGATAATCGTTATCGTAATGATAAACGTGATCGTTCATAAACAAAATTCATTATATTATATACATTCATAAATAGACTGTAAATCAAAAATAAGAAGGAAAAAGAATAGTTCTATTATTGTTGTGTTTCTTTTTTCTTTGTTTTTTTTTGTATGTAAATATAAACATTATTGTCTGCATAACGATCATCCATCGATTTTGTTTCTTCAGATGTCTATACTTAATTTTAATGTTGGTGTACTTGGACATGTCGATTCTGGAAAGACAAGTCTTGCTAAAGCTTTAAGTACTGTTGCTAGGTAGATATAAATAGATATGAGATAGAAAATTCATTTAAATGAATTGATTTTTGTTCTTCAGTACAAATGCATTTGATAAAAATCCACAAAGTCAAGAACGTGGAATAACACTTGATCTTGGTTTTTCATCATTTACAATGGATATGCCTGAACATTTGGTGAATAGTAATTATAAACAATTACAAATTACTTTAGTCGATTGTCCAGGACATGCATCATTAATACGAACAATTATTGGAGGTAAACTAATTTATCAATTAAATATACTCATAGTAGTAATAGTCATGGATATTTCCTTCAACCAGACCGTCTGATTTGCTCGTTTCCGATTTTTGAAGACGATATGATCAATCAAACTAAAATTTTTATCATAGATAGAACACCCAAAATTAAAAAAAAAGTATGAGGTGAAGTTTAGCTTGAAAACTTCGGGTTTTCAATAGGATCATATCCTCGTGACTTATCTTTGTTCAATATGGGCTGAGACTTTTACCATTGATACTTGAAAGTATTTTCTCGAGGTAAAATCAACTGTTGTTGCATTTGACTTTCCTACCTCATTGGAAAGAATTCTGAAAGCTAGGATTTTGATTTTTCGCTTCGAACCCTTATGCATTTCTCTAAGAAAAAAAAAGAGTTTGAGATTTTTGTATTCGCTTTAAGGCCAAGGTTTCCTAAGAAACAAGTCATTTCAAAATTTTACTTGTACATGTATCTTCTTATTTTGATTTTCTATCGGTAGTAAAAATTTCAACTTGATGGGCTATTTCGTTTTCGAAAGCCAAACATGTTCAGAAAGGGAGGAGAAGGTGGTAACCTTAATGTTCTATTCATATTTATTAATCAATCAGTTCTTATGTTGATGCTTAGGAAAAGAATATCGCAAAATTCTACAGTCAATAGATGAAAATAAATCTTTTCCAGAGTATTCAAGGTATAATCTCATAACTCGATAATAGTAACAGCTAGTGACTTGATGTTTTCAGTAATCGACAGAAGAAAAATCTAGACGTTTTTTTGACTGATACCATACAAAATACAATTTTCTCAAGACTCATCATCTTCGCAAAAAAATGTATGAAAACGATGTTCCATTTCAATCTAATTTAATTTTGACATCTATTTCAAATAGAAGGACTTCAGATCTATAGTTCAATATATGACATAGATGATTATCTTCTGATATCTGAATGTTAAGCAAACAAAATTGCGTATCTATTCAATCAAATTCTATAGAATTCTGTTGATATTCAGTAAATAATCTGACTTTTCGTCAAGATTTCCTTGAAATGAAGCATTGTTTTCACGTACTTGTTTTTGCAAATATCTTGGGTTTTAAAATCATTTTATTATATATATATATATATAATAAGACAAAATGTTGATCGGAGTTCTTCGCTTTCGACTGGTAAAATCACAGTTTACTAGCTGTTACGATGGTCACATTATTAAGATTACACTTACACCTCTCTGTTCAATTTTAATGCTGACACAAATTTTTAAGTAATTCATATTAAAACAAATTCTTTTTTTTTTTGTTTAGGTGCTCAAATAATCGATTTAATGTTACTTGTAATTGATATAACGAAAGGTATTCAAACGCAAACAGCTGAATGTTTAGTTATCGGTGAAATAACTTGTGATAAAATGTTAGTTGTATTAAATAAAATTGACCTTATTGAAGAATCTCAACGACAATCAACAATAGAAAAGGTAAATCAAACAAAAAAAAAAAAGAAATTCTATTTATTTTATATCATACAACTCATTTGTCTTAGTTATTCAGATGACAAAACGATTACGTAAAACATTTGAATTAACAAAATTTCCACAAGCACCTATTATTCCTTGTTCAGCATCATTATCATTAAATTTAAATGAACTTATATCAACACTTCAACAACATGTTTACATTCCTCAACGATCTCCAAATGGTCCATTTATATTTTCTGTTGATCATTGTTTTTCGATTCGTGGTCAGGGAACTGTTATGACTGGTACGGTTCTATCAGGTTCAGTGCGAATTAATGATGTAAATGTCAATTTTAGTATTTTTTTGTTTTATGAAAAAAAATATTAATAACTTTCGGTCTTTTAATTATAGTCAATTGAAATAGCAGCACTTAAAGAAGTTCGTAAAGTTAAATCAATGCAAATGTTTCATAAACCAATTGATAGAGCTATTCAAGGTGATCGCATTGGTATTTGTGTTACACAGTTTGATCCAGATAAACTCGAACGAGGATTGATTTGTAAGTAATATTCTTCGTTTTTTTTTCTCTGTGAAACTCACATACATTTTCAACAAACATAGAATGTAAGTTTTACGTCGAAGTTCTGCGGTTCTTCCTGTCTATTACAAACCTTAGCCACCAAGAAAAACAGGCGTTAGACTCTTTTTCCAGAGT